ACGGCGTGTGGCAACCCGACATGATTTGATCACACTGGTTTGGAATGAAAGCAGCAGCTCTCGGTAAACATACTGTGCTGTACCAAGGTGCTGCAAGTCATTTTACAGCTGGAAAAGCTTATGACCTAAGATGCTCAAGCAGTCGCAGCTGAATCATTTGACGATAAAAAAATAGTTGAGAGCTTAAAAATGAAACACATGCCAAACAAAGATTTTCATGAGCCGACAGACATTCAACCTGTGGCGAGTGATATTCATCATGCCTCTTATGTCTTACATTCGAAGCTCACATTCAAAAAAGAACAGGCACTCATTGCAAAGTGATTTTACGAGCCAGCCATAACAACACACATAAAAAAAAAACTTTAGATGAAGATGACCGACTTGTTTAAGCTAACCTGAACTGGAATGCTCTAAATAAAAGTGTCAGCACTTGACAGCCCTCTTCCAATCCAATGCAATCAAGGTAAAACTACAGTTAAACTCCGCTAAAATGAAAAATTCACAATTCTCCGTCAGCAGTCTATAGGAGTCAATACATAAATATTGTCGCCACAACGAACACTTTTTGTTCAATCTTCCCGCTTCAACAAAACTTTACGACGCAATTTCAGGCTCAGGTACTTATTGCTAAGCAATAAACCCAATCTTTAACATTCCGATGCATTTTCAGAGCCTAAAATTGCGTCAACAAAGTCTAAAATACGCGTTGGCATCACCAGACACCGCCGCTATAAAGGCGTTGTTCCAACAAGCACGGGCGCCACCATGGCTCGATATCAATGACAATGAGACTGCCCAGCTTTTGCCACTGGCTTATTTCGAGCCGCAGACGAATCCAAAGCTGACGCTCAGTTCATGGTTTCCTTCACACAGCTGCTAGGTGAAACCGCGGAACCATGGAGTTTCCCAAAATTAACTAGAGAGCACTCTGGCGCTGCGATCGTTCAGCGACCATGGGAATGATGGGTAGTACACACATTTGCCTAGTCTTCGTACTTGTGGGCGGCGAATCGTACTTGCGGCTTCGTTTATTGCTGGTTAGGGTTTTGTTTTGAAAGAAAGAACAAACCCTTTTGAACTTAGTGACTTGATTCGAAATGGTAAGCCCAAGAGAATAAGGTTGTGAAGCGCAAATGGTGAACATTTGCTAATTTATGTTTTCGTGAAAAAACAGCTCCAAGCCACACGAACACACACAGAGCCAGAAGCAGGCCAGTAGTATGAAAATTAGACAAATGTGTGTACTACCCATCATTCCCATGCTCGCTGAAGCGCCGTGTGTTGCAGCTCCCATAGACATTAGAGCCAGAGTTCCCTCTAGTGTATATTAAGAAACTCCATGCGCGTGCCTTTTCCAATGCCTATCATTATGTTCGACAAAGCGCCTTCGGCGCCACGCTTCCTGCCTATCTGACAACGGCACGTTCGCGCTTGGCCAGTGTGGTAACTAATCAGAGCGGCTGTTCGTCCGCATTATCAACAAAACCAGCTAGTCGCGAGTGATGAATGATAATATTGGCATAGAATAATGCAAAAGTCGCTGCTCCACGATACCCTGTTTTCATATCGGTGTTGTCGGAGCTGTTGGTGTTAACGTGTTAATGCACCTGTTTGGTTCGCTCAGGAAGGTGGTTTTAGGCGTGTTTCAGCGTACTTTTCACCATGGCCTCGCTATGCATGGGTGAGAATGACGTCGTGACGCTGCTGAGAAAGAATAGGAAGCAGAGGACATTTTTTTTTTTTTTTTGAATTTTGAGAATAAACGTTCCTTTGTTTTGCTAGCTCAGATCAGCTATATTTTTTTGGATTTCGCTTCAACGAAATTTTTTCAGCGCCCCGTCAGTTTCGTTGTAGCGGGGTTCGCCTGAATAGCTTGAGGAGACCAAAAAGACTGCAGAAGGCCAAGAAAAAACGCAGGGAGTCACTTGAACAAGCATTTTACGAGTGTCATAATAACAAGATCCCCAATATTTGTGTCAATAGTTTTGACACAAAAAGGCAATGGCGGTCATAGTGCAAAACTTTTGGGACCATTCAAGGTGACGAAAATGACTACAAAAGACGGAATACATAAGACCACCAGCTAAATGACAAAAGATGTCATGGAAATAGCTGCAATCAGCAAAGTATTCAGTGGAGGGACAACACAAGACCATGGAGAGTGTAGTGACACAAAGGCTACAAAGAACTACTTTGACAAGGAACTGGGAGCAGAGAATGAGGAAGAGTAAAATTTTTTGTCTTTGTCAATGCTGGAATGTATGAAAACTGCAATTCATTGGATTAGAGTTTCTCTACAGCTGTCTTTAAAATGAGAGAACTATCTAAAATGGCTCCAAAAGCTTAGTGTGGTTAATCCCTACATCGGAGATTTCTGGCTATGGTGTGAGCGAAAAGCCACAATCAGATGACAAATGTCTCACTAATGCTTTGCCTTGAGAATCGTCTGTGCTGTGGGTGTTGGCATTCCTAATCACACAATTAGGCACAACCTTCTTACAATAATTTCTGTACAGGTAGCTACTAATAAAATGTTAACATCAGAAATGACCTTGAAGTTATGGTGTTCTTTCTTTCACTGCTCGAAAATCAAAACCATGATTTAACAAAATTAGAGATATACAGTAAAACCTCATTAATTTGAACACTGTTATTTCAAAATCCAGCGTAATTTGAAGTATTTCAATGATCCCGTATTTCACAATGTAAGTTTGAACAGATAATTTGAAGCGGTGGTAAGCACTAGTCCAGCTAATTCGAAAACTTTGGGTGCAGTGTACCAATTCCCGATCCCCATTTCACCATGAAAACAAGAGCCCTTAAGAGCCACTAGACAATGTACTGTACAGATACTAATGAGTGGCAGCTGGAGTACATCAGCCTAAATACTTCCAGCACGAAAAATAAATTTTAAAGAGTGATCTCATGATCAAGTGAAATGTGCGCCTGCGGACACAAGACGTGCTTCATTGCAACACAGCAGCGATGCGCAGGCAGCGTGTCACATGCTTCTCGGTACGTCAGCGTGTCATGATTTACCCATTCTTTCTGGGAATAGAAAAAAATTAATAAAGGACAGTCTGGCGGGATTCACAATATATGCGAACCTCCGAGTGCTGGTTGCTCCAGCAATTTTCGCACTTGGCGGAGTTCTTGCCTGCCACGCCTACTTTGGAAACTTTGTATGAAAGCTTGAATAATCACGTTTTCCAGCCGAAACATGACAAATTTCGTCGCACTGTCTACTATTAAATTCTTCATTTTACTCATAAAGAATGAATGAATAGTCCCATCATGACGTGCTGATGCAGCGAGGAGCAAGCGACACGCTGCCCGATTGTTACTGTATTGCAGTTAAGACTTTTTATTTTTAGCAAGCACGCATTTCAGTTTATCACGGCGTTTTTTTTTTTCTGTTCTTTTTTTTGCGATTGCAGCAGCGACCCTTAGAATTCTGCCTTGTTTGCTGCATGTGACCTTTTAGTGCTGAAAAACATTACCTAGGAGCTGCAAACTAGCCAGCACTGCAAACGACCAGCTCTGATTATACTTTAAATAATTTCAAGTTCCTTGCATCCCACTTTTGTATGTTCTATTAATTCAAAAACCCACTTAATTCACCAATTTCTCACAGTCCCTGTAACTTCAAATTAATGAGGTTTTCATTTAAGCTGTCTGCTACAAGTATGAGTTTCATTATACTTTTAGCATTGAAATAGGAGTTTCACGTATTGCTTCAGCTACTTTAACATGTGCATGCACTGCATAGCATTGAGGCCAAGCACCAAAGCAAGCACTTCCACATATGTTCTTACATGCCTAAACGATCAGTGTCAAAACTGAGTCCATGTAATACCAAAGTAATGGAGTAAATACGCAAAAAATGTTAGCGAAGAGTGACGTTCGCAACGAGATATACAGAGCTTCACTGGGCTAAATGGCCCCAAGAGACCACTACTTCGTCAGTTACCTCCCGCAAGTGTTTGCTTTTTTTTTTTTGCACATTTGACCATGTCTCGATGCTACAAATACTCCCTCAAATTACATAATGCACACGAGAAATTATACGCCCAATGAAGTCTGCTTACTAGAGTGCACTTGCTACCAATCAGAAGTTACAACTTCTGATCTCCTATTGGTGAATCTACAGCTGGAAAAAAATATTAATGCCACTTGCCACAATAAACAGCAAGTAAAAATTTCACTTTAAAGAGCAGCTCTTACAGGTCACCCTTGACTTTTGAGGATCAAGCAGCGACTTTTGCAAAGGGTGTGCTGTTTCACATTTCCCCATTCGGAAAGCTGTTAGTGCAATAGTACTCTAGTAATAGCACACTCACGCACACATACCAGAACATTATAGAAATCATTACAAGGATTACAAGCATGGTATATTCACTGAAAAGAACACCAAAAAGAAAAATAAGCTGAATGGCATAACTTGAAAACTACGCTGAATGGCATTAGCAAGTTATGTGAACAATACAAATAAAAGCAAGGCTTATTTGTGGCAGAAGGCTCAGCAAGCCACAAAAATACACAAAGGCAAAATGCAAGGGGTGCCACTGCATATATATTTCCGCACCAGCTACCATTGTGAGATGAATTACTATATAACGGTGGCTGTTTCAACCTAGTTAATATGGTTAAATACAGACACGTTATTTGATCAGTTTAGTAATTGGCTTCCAGAGAAGCCAAGTACTAAATTGAACTCGGTAAGCATTGGGAGCTTTTACTGCCCCACATTGGGCCAAATATGGTAAAAATATTTAAGAATGCATGGCATACATTGACAGACTGTCACGAAGATTTTTGGAGCAAAAAAAAAAGTGTTTGGCCTCGACTATGCCTTCTAGTAGTTAACCTCTTCGTTCAAAATTGACAATACAACATTGAAGGAATTTGCTATCAATCTGAACTAAGTTTTTCTTTAGTGTCCCTCTCAAGTATATTCAGCTGAAACCGCATAAAAAGTGTAACAAAAGCATAATTACTCCTTGTTCGAGAGGGTACTTGCTCTGAGGAGAACATGGCATCCGGACGTGCACACCATCCCACTTGTCAACAGGAACAGCTGGGTATGGTATTAGGGGGCATGGCTTTACATCACCGTTTTCACTCCGCACAACCTGCCACATGGAAAAAAAAACGCAAAAATAAACCATAAGCGATGATGCGGACTTTAGAAAAAATTGAAGCCAACCTTGCAGAGAATCGTGTGATTACGGCTCATAGGTGGGAAATGGGTTTCACAATGTGGCATGCGCCTGAAGGTTTCCGGGATGGCATTGTACTGCAAAAAAAAATTATAATGTAGCTGCATGCTGGGCTTCGCAACTCCATAGCAAGAACAATGGCGAAATAAGAAAACTTCTAAACAAATGGTCCTACACTTACACTAGGAATACTTTCCTCAGACCCTGACGAGTGCTGCGAGCTTGGCGTAGCTTCACAGCTCTCAGGTGTTGTACTGTCCTAGAAGTATATAAGAGGTTTCGCAAATCAAGCCCACGGAATTTCAAACCTTGTACTACGGACAATTAAGTAAACAAACGAGAGAACATCAAAGAACTAGGGAGTGTAAAAATGGTGACTTGATCTTACGTCCGGACTGTCGGTTTCTGAAGAATAATGTTCTTCTTCACAGTGTTCGGCACTCTCACATGGCATATCACTTGCCTGCAATGAGAAGCCATAAAAGGCAGTACTATTGGTAATGTACTTGAAAAGCTTCTGCACAACGATGCATGAGACATTAAAGTAGAGCTTACGTTAAGAGCCGTTTCTTCTGAACAAGAAGCTAACTTCGATTCTTGAGGATCAACAGCATCAAACCTGCAAACACACAAGAAAAGCATTTGTGAGCGTTGTACACGGCTTACGTGGTGTCAGAAGGCATAAACATGCAAGTGGCATACTCGGGGAACAGTTCTTGTGATGAGTTGACATCTTCCAAGTCGTGCGCATTGAACTTGGTTTCCACATCCGGCGAATCCTTCGCAGCCTCTGTACTGCTTTGGACATCTGAGGACTGCATGGTTTTCCCAGGACTTGACTGTTTTCGTGAATTTGTTTGTGCCTCTGTAAAGGAAATAAATGGTTCGTTTCCTTTCTGCAGTTCACCGTAATTTAGGGCAACTGCACCATTGGACGACGGATGTTTTTCCAGCGTTTCGAAAACAAACCAGTCCAGTTTGGATTGCTTAAAGCGCTTCTTGCTGGGTCCTACGCCATCGCTCATCTTGCTTCAGGACATGATCAGCGCCAGGTTTCGCACCTGCGCTGTGCAAAAGCGCTTCTCACGGACCAGTTGTAGTACTCCCAAATATTCCAAGGCCTCGATCGCGAAGTACCTGTTACGCACGTTACTGAGGCCCACGAAAGAATCAGCGGTTTTTAACGAGCGACTTGTGCTGACTACATGTGTTTTCTGCCACTATGACGCACCTCCTTGAACGATTATAAGCAAAAAACGCAAGCGCGCGCACTCAACAACGTAGTCGATGGGCATGTGGTCACAGAACAGAGAACGGAAACTGTCCCTTTGGGCTGTTGTATCATAGCCTCCTAAATTTTTATTGATGATGATGATGACCTCTTATGGATGGCGCTCACCCACAGAGGGGAGTGGGCCAAGAACCAGGCGGCAGGATACTTAAATAAAACTAAAATGAACATAAAGCCAATCTGAAAAAGTAGTTTAAAAATAATACTACCAAAAGAAAACAAAAATGTTTGCTGAGCAAGCGGTCAAACTATCTCTTGTTTTTGATAGACATAACTACGAATTATAAACCAAAGATCTGAAAAGGTTGGGGTTCACTAGCACGGTAATCTTTTAGTTGCGTTGATGTAATCAAACACAGTGGAGCATACATCCCTGTGGCAGTAACCAAATGAAGTTCTGCCAAGTGATAAAATTACTGGTAGATTTACTTGTATTCCTAGCTTTTGTAATGGGGCTACTAAAGATATTTTTCTCTGATAAGAATAACGATGGCAGAATAAAAAGAAATGTTCAATTATTTCAATTTCGTTGCACCAAATGCATAACGGTGACGCCTTGAGTCGAGCTTTGTTAAGGTAATCATTTAGTTGTGGAACTGCACAGCGCAATCTGGTATAAGTGACCTCTAACTGGCGAGATACACACCACTGTTTATTCCAGCAATAGCTCAAATGCTCGAAATCTTTGAATTTATCCAAATTTCCTTTTCCCCATTGCAGGCAAGCATTTCGGAACCTTAGCGCTGTCACGTAAGCCGTATCTGGCAAAACTGGGATGGTGGGCCCACCCAGGGATACTGCTGCTAAAGAGTCCGCCATTTCATTCAAATATAATCCGCAGTGGCCGAGTATTCTTAGCAAATGCAGTTTTTTTTACGTTTTTCGGTACTAAATGCCGAAACGTATTCATCAGCTCTGCATTTACTGCCACAGAAAGTGCATTACAAACTGATAACGAATCTGTAATGATAACTGCTAATGATTCGCTTGAGGGCGATTTGCGTAGGGCAAGAACAATGGGCAGTAATTCTGCAATGAATACAGGGGTATAATCTGGGAGTCGAATCGAAAAGGACCAGTCCAAAGGAGAGAAGATGCCAACCCCAGCCTTTTTTTTTTAACACAGATGCATCAGTCGCAATGATATTGCTTATGTCTGGGTGAGCTAGATAATCTGCTAACTGGTCATTTAAATATCTATGCCTGCCGGATTATCGGAGGTCGCTTGGAAAGCGGCCGTCGTGGGAACTATGGTGGTAGCGCTACCTAAGTAGAGGTGTCTTCAAATAAGCTTTTACGTTTTTGGAGCTTATATGCGACAAAAATTACGTAAAAAGTTTTAAAAAGGCGTAAACGTAATTATAATTACCCTACGTAAGTGACGCCATTATAGATAACAGCTGTTTTGCGCTCATTCAGTAGGAAACTCCTTTAATACAAGGCATAGCCTTTGAGTTTAGTAGCAAACGCTAAAATTGCCGATCTCAAAGGCCAAGTACAAAGACCCTTACTTCTACGTAGGTAGCGCCGCCATAAACAACGGGCCTTTCGCGCTCATCCAGCAAGCAAAGGAAATCTAGGAGGCTATGGTTGTATCAACATGCAAAACGTAGCGGAGGCGTACTGCTGAACTGCAATACCGCGAGGCGACAAGGCGCTGGTATACTATCATCATCAATAAACAAGCGCAATTCTTGTTGCAGATCACAAAGGAAGAAAAGGTAGGAGAGGGCATGCTCAGCCGGCGCGCGGTGTGAAAAGTGTGGAGGAAATCATGGAGTTTCCCACGGAGGACGTTTTTCCTTCCTCCGTAGAGTTTCCCAAAATTAACTAGAAGCACGGAGGAAGGAAAGGTAAGGAGAGGGCATGCCCAGCCGGCGCAGGGCGTAAAAAATGTGGCGCAAATGACATCATGGCGGCCATATTCACTAGGCACAATGGCGGCGTTGTTATGGTTACGTGTTGTGCAGTGGAGCTGGTCTAGCAGTGAGCGGCCGCGGCTGGCGGCGGAATGTGTGCCTCCCCAGGTCTCGTGCTGAGCCGTGGCGGACAATATCTGTGCTCTGCGCCGCGTTATTGGTTACGCAGTGTTCTCCTGGCTGTTACATTACTCTTAGCAACGTTTACCAATCCCTTTGTCCATCACGGGGTTTCAACAGTGCGTAGAACAAGTGCATATCCAAGTGTCGTGCGGCGGATGAAGCAGTTAGTGTTCAGCGAAATTGCGTTGGGCACCATCACGAAGCTGAATGACGACAAACGCCTTGCAGGTCAGTGACGGTTGAGCAGTGCTCCTGCTTGTGACAACGGACGACGCGGTTGAGCCCATCAAGACGCCGTGAGGACCATGTGCACATACGTAGTTTCGTGTTGTGTGTGTACAGTAACAACTTGCATGTGCGTATTAAACCATCTTTTCTGTTCCGCTTGGTACACTCTCCACCAGCATTGCATGTAATCTCAACGTAACAGCAACCACGTTCAACTGTCACTAGCACCGTGCTCAAAGTCAACACGGAATGCGTTGACACCGGGGAGTTTCACGCGGAACACGGACACAGTGGCCGGACGCTGCATCGGCCGCGTGGCGGAAGGCAACCGTAGAAGGCGCACGACCGATCGTGTTGTCTGTACAGTTGCTGAATTAATGACGTGAAAGCACTCGCCGTTGTCAGTGCATCTAGCGCGCGTTCTTTCGTAGTTGCTTCGTTGTCAGTGAGCTGTTACTCTTTGTTATTACTCGGACGAAGCGATTTCGCTGAAGGTGTCGCGCTGGCTCTGAGTGATGAGCCCAGTTCCATTAGTTTCGGATCGTCACGACACACGCGCTGCGCAGCCCACGTGCTTTCCGAGCCGGAGAGGGAGTCGCGCCTTCTGCTTCGCATTCATATGTAAACAAGAGAGGAGAATTTGCCTACTCAATATGGCCGACTTCCGGCTTCATCGCGGCTTCACAACGAGTGACGTCAGGGCCTCTCCTTACCTTTTCCTTCCTCCGTGGCCTCTCCTTACCTTTCCTTCATCCGTGACTAGAGGGCACTCTAGCGCTGCGATCGTTCAGAGACCATGGGAATGATGGGTAGTAGTACACACATTTGCCTATAATAGTCTTCGTACTTGTGGGCGGCGAATCGTACTTGCGGCTTTGTTACGATTAAGTTTTGAAAGTAAGAACAAACCCTTTTGAACTTAGGTACTTGATTTGAAATAGTAAGCTTAAAAGAATAAGGTTGTGAAGCGCTAACGGTGAACATTTGCTAATTTATGTTTTCGTGAAAAAATAGTTCCAAGCCATGCAAACACACACGGAGCCAGAAGCAGGCCAGAAGTACGAAAATTAGACAAATGTGTGTACTACCCATCATTCCCATGCTCGCTGAAGCGCCGTGTGTTGCAACTCCCATAGACACTAGCGCCATAGTTCCCTCTAGTAAGTATTGTCATTGCCTTCTCTATAAGTTATAGAGAAGGCACTGGTATTGTGGGAAACTCTATGGAGGAAATGACATCATGGCGGCCATAATCACCAAGCACAATGGCGGCGTTGCTATCGTTACGTGTTGCGCATTGGAGCTGCTAGGTCTAGCAGTGAGCGGCCGCGGCTGGCGGTGGCATGTGTGCCTCCCCAGGTCTCCGTGCTCTGCGCCACGTTATTGTTTACGCAGTATTTTCCTGGGAGTTACTGTACTCTTAGCAACGTTTACAAATCCTTTTGCCCATCACGGGCTTTCAACAGTGCGTAGAACGAGTGCTTGTAGTACCCATGTGTCGTGCGGCGGATGACGCGGATGAAGCAATTAGTGTTCAGCGAAATTGCGTTCGGTACCATGACGAAGCGGAACGACGACGAACGCCTTGCAGGTCAGTGACGGTTGGGCAATGCTCCTGCTTGTGACAACAAACAACGCTGTTGAGCCCAGCAAGACGCCGTGAGGACCATGTGCACATACGTAGTTTCGTGTTGTGTGTGTACAGTAACAACTTGCATGTGCGTATTAAAACACCTTTTCTGTTCCGCTTGGTACACTCTCCACCAGCATTGCATGTAATCTCAACGTAACAGCAACCACGTTCAACTATCACTAGCAGCGTGCTCAAAGTCAACACGGAATGCGTTGACACCGGGGAGTTTCACGCGGAACACGGACACAGTGGCCGGACGCTGCATCGGCCGCGTGGCGGAAGGCAACCGTAGAAGACGCATGACCGATAGTGTTGTCTGTACAGTTGCTGAATTAATGACGTGAAAACACTCACCGTTGTCAGTGCATCTAGCACGCGTTCTCTTGTACTTGCTTCGTTGTCGGTGAGCTGTTACCCGCTGTTAATACTGGGACGAAATGATTTTGCTGAAGGTGTCCCGCTGGCTCAGAGTAATGAGCCCCGCTCCATTAGTTTCGGATCGTCACGACACACGCGCTGCGCAGCCCACGTGCTTTCCGAGCCGGAGAGGGAGTCGCGCCTTCTGCTTCGCATTCATATGTAAACAAGAGAGGAGAATTTGCCTACTCAATATGGCCGACTTCCGGCTTCATCGCGGCTTCACAACAGGAATCTTCGATTTGGCTTGCACTAGTTCAGAAAAGTGCAGGTGCAGAAAAAGCGGTGCCAAGCGGTGCAGTGAGCGTGCAGCGCCGGTCGAGCAAGTGCAGGTGCAGCCTCAACCACGCCTCGGCACTAGCCGACACTAGCGCGCGACGGCTACAGCCAAAACGAAGGCGTGAGTTGACGTGAGTGCAGGCCGGAGAACACCTTGTAGTGTAAGCCTAAAATAGCCGCCTCCGCCGCCTTGTCCGATCAATACACGGCCGTGATGGCACTTCTTGTGACTGCGATGGAATTGCTGGACTCGAGCAGCGACGACGATTCCGTCAGCGGTGCCGTTTGCAGTGACTGCGACGATGAGTACGACGATGCGTGCATCTTGGTCGCGTGCGCGTTGGTGCGCGACGATGCCAACCGTGTACCCGGGTACGAAAGCATTATCGGCAGGTACCATGAGTATGAATTCAAGCGCCTCTTCAGGCTGTCCAGGGAGACTTTTGATAGT